AATTATAACAAATTATAACAAATGTTGCAACAAAATTATAAAATTTTACAATTATAACATATTATTAAATTAATTATAAGGACCATCTTTAGCTAACCCGAATTAACCTGTTCAGAATTTTAAGTTATATGATAAAATTAATATTAAATCAAATGTATTTTTTTTTTTTAAAGTGTGATAGTTTCGCAATATTTTTATTATGACAGTAAATATATATAAAAATATTAAATTAAATGTAGTAAAATAAACATCATTATTATTAAATTTATTAAATAATGATAATAATATCAGTATCTTTATTGTAAATAGACGAGATATTAACCTTTTACTTTACACATGATTACATGTGATCTCAATACTCAGGTTCAGGGTAATTAAGAATGTGATAAAAGTTAATTCTGTGTAATTCTGTGATTTGGCCAGAATTATGCAAGATCAGCCAACATTACGATTCGCAAATTCTGGTCAAACTTAATATCAGCCAGCATTACTATGGTATATCGGGCCAAAATTTTGAAAATTATCATCCATATTCTGTGATTTTCAGTGAAACTCTGTGAAACACAGAAAATCAATGGTCTCTCTGCTCAGGTTATATATACAATTCAATTCATTATTATATACAAATATAAATATTATAATATAAATTAGGATTATTATATTAAATATAATTTTTATTAATACTTTTAATATTTTTAAGGATTTGGAAAATTTTTATGGGTAAAAAAAAATGTGTCGCTATATTCGGAACATTGATCTGAAATTAGCGATTAGCCATTATGTTTTTTCTTAAAAATTCTATACCGTTTTTTTTTTATCGATCTGCAAAATGATCGTCCGACCCGTGACTTGAATTACAAAAAAAAATTATTTTAATCCTGTATAACTGCCGATCATTACCGATCATTGCCAATAAAGCTTCGGGTCTGAAAACTTGCTTGGAGTGTAATGGACGCTTTAATGGTGCTTGTTTCCAAGTTAAAAGAATAAAGACTTTTATTTTCTCTCGTTAACTTATTAATATTGTAATATTGTTCTACTAGTAAATTTTTATTTCTTATTTATTACTTCTATTATTAAATTATTAATGCTATGATAATTTGTTTGTATCATAATGATCGATAAAAAAAAATAAAATAAAATAAAATAAAAAAAAAGACCGAATGTAACAAACAATCATCTTATTTTCCGGAAATTCTTTTTTTGTCAAGGATTTTTTTTTGTTTCATAGTTTAAATGCCTATTCTTAGATAACAATCTAAATCGGGTGATCCAAAACGCATGGTTTTTCTGATTTCTATATTTAGTTACGACTGACAAACAACAATATATAATAATATTTGTGGAAAACAAAGAATTTTTGGTCGTCAGGAAACCTTAATATTGTTCATTCTGCTGTGCAAATTTTTTTATCACCTTTTTATGGTTCATTTCAACTAGATTTTTGAACATAAATATGCTTCCCTCAGAATTTAATTTCAAAATTAAATTTTGAACTCTCTTTTTTAATTAGTCTCTTTAACAATTTTTACAATTTTATTTACTAAATCTTGCGTAATTAAATTAATTTAAAATGGATGTGACTCTACTTGAATTTTACAATAACTGGATACACGGGCTAATAACGATGACTTTTCTTCATAATTTGGTCGTTTCCATCTTGTTATATATTTCCCGCCAATCTAATACGTCTAATATATTAAAGATTATCTTTAATCTCTCAGGATTGCTTCGCGAATTGTTTACATTTGGACTTTTCATGCTTCCGATTGAATTTTCATCATTCATGTGTTATGGTTTATCTTATTCAATAGCTGTTGCGAATTTTTGTTTCAAAGAAACATTAGCTATATTTTTATTATGGCGACTTCGACAAATAGAGCACCGTAATTCTGACAAATGGATCAGTTTAGTTTTATTATTTATAAGGACAATAGCACAAGTAATTAATTTTCTATAATTTCATAAAATGTTAAAATAGCCTTAATCATGAACTTATTTACTTGTCTTTTTAAAAAAAATATTAGTTAACCCAAATGGCATTATCGAGACCAGAAGTTATTGTTGATAATGGACCCTCAGCCTGTAATCCAAATCCTAACTCGGCTAAAGTTTCTGTTTGGGCTGTGAATGCTTGTGATTTTTTTATTGAAATATATGTGACAGTTCGTCTTATCCAAATTCTTAAAAGAGCAAACCGTAATGCGGCACAAATTAGCTCAAGCATGGATAGAAAGACAAAACGTACCTTATTTACTGCCGTCATGTATTGGAATTTCTTACGATTAGCAATTGCTTTTGTAATAAGTGTATTTGCTTCAGCTTATACTGAATTTATTTCCAATTTAAGTACTACCCATATAGCTATCGACGGAGCAATTTCTGGTATCTTTATTATAATAATGTCTTATGTTATAACTGTTGATGCTGAAATTGTGCGAGTAATTGAGGGGAAATCCAAAAAGAGAAGTAATAAAAGCAGTTCAGAGAAAAGTGTACCAGGAATGCCATATGTGCCAAAGACTTATCAAACGAAATCATCTCATATTCTTCCTAAATATACATCCTCGGAGCAAGAAGGAAATAATGATGATATTATTGTATCAATGAAAAGGTTATCGTTTTTTGAGTGGGCAAATTTAGTTTTAGGTTTTCGTCGCGATAACGAAAAAAACTTTAATGAGGAAGATGTAGTAGAAATAATTGACGGACCTTCAGATTTCGAGAGTGTAAATAAAAAAAATGATAAGAGGTGATTTTAGTAATAGTACAATGACAACAGTTACATCAACATCAATAGCCAAAGAACGTGACTTTGCATAATAATATACCTTTTAAATTTCAAAATGAACAAATTACTGTACATTGATTTATTCATTGTTACGATTTCCATTCACAATTTTCATATTTTTATAGTAGTAATTATATTAATCTTTTTTTAGTCATTTCATGTAGTATAACAAATAATTTTCATATTTTTTTAAAAAGGGTGCTAAATTCCGACAGTCATTTCTATTAAACAATATTATGTATTTCTGGCCAAATGCATTAATCTGATATAAATGTATATATAAATGCCCTATTCTAAATAAACTAGGAATATTATCCCTTAGATTGTAGAGGTTTGCAGACAAATTTGCCTGCTTATTTACTTCTAATTTACTTTTATGAAAAATTAAAATTTTTTATTTTAAATTAATTTTATAAATATATAATATATCATAGTAATTTTTATTTTTTAATTATATTATAAATAATCTAAATTATTTAAAACTTCTTAATAAACTTAAATAAAGTTGATAAATACAGTGGCTCACAAAAGTAATGCAACCGCTAAACACAAAACTTTAAATTAATGTAACTTTTTATTTATAAATTATATCAAAGTAAAAAAAAAGTTATGATATTCTCTGAATCAAAATTTATTAAAAAATATTTTTTTTTTTCTGATTTAAGTTATGTGAAAAAAATATATGCTGCGATTTTTAAGTTTTTGGCGTTGCATTATTTATATGACCTTTAACGATCAATATTTAACCGGTTAGTTTTAAACTGAAAACTAGAACAAATCCTTACACTAATACGTTTATTTATTAAATTACATCTGTTCACCACCTTATATACCCCCCTTGACCTTTATTACATCATTTATCCTTTCTAGTATAAACTTGATTAAATTTATATATGCATCGATCTCAATCCTGAACTAAACATCTTGTAATTTTTCCACAGATCTTTCCTTCCTGTAGTTTATTCTAGAAGGTGTCTTAAATGACGTTCAGCTTCATTTCAAAGATGTTCTATAAGATTTAAGTCCAGAGATTATATAGGCCAGTCAAGTACAATCACTTTATTATCAGAAAGCTGGACCTTAGTAAGATTTGCCATATGTTTGAAATCATTATCGTGTTAAAATATTATATCATCAATACTTAATCCCTAATCTGAAATAGATTCCATAAGATCTTCTTCAAGTATTTGCCGATAAAGTTCCTCATTTAAGCTGCCATTAATTATACAAAGATTGTTAACACCATTTGCTGAAAAGCATCACCAAACTATTATATTATCTCTACCAAATTTTACTGTTAGTTTGACATGAGAACTTCTTAATAGTTTTCCTGATTTCTTCTAACAGTACTGGTATCCATCTGAACCAAAAAGCATGAACTTACTTTCGTTAGATCAGATTACTTTCTTCTAATCCTCTATAGACTAATTTTGATATTTTTTTGCAAAATTTAAGTGACGTTTACGATGTGTTTTTTTAAGGTAAGGCTTCTTTTTTTTAATTCTTGATGCTAGACCATTTCTTCAAAGTGTTTTGCGTATAGTTTCAGCTGAAATTTGGATATTATCATGGGTTTTGAGGTCACCTTGTATAGCAATTGCTGTAGAATATTTATTAGAAGTAACAAGTTAAAGAATTTTACGTTCAGTGTGAATAAAAATGACTTGAGAATGACCTGATTTTTTTATTTTCAAAACCATCTATCTCTTTTTTACGCTGACGAATTCTCGTAACTGTAGACTTATGAACATCTTCTTTAGCTGCAATAATATTGGCTTAATAGCCTTCTTCAAAAAGAGTAAAAATTCTTGCTTATTTTTCTAAGGATAATTGTAACATATTGAAATTTTTTTTTTATAGTAAACAAAAAGGCTGGAATTTGTTTCTTTATAATTACATAATATTATGTTATTTATTACATTCTTTTTGCTTCTTTTTTTAGAAGATATTTTCCAAGATCTGGATTTCAGCTTGAACTATAAAAGTAAGTTAGTGTAAGAGATTGTTTTTGATTTTTTTTGCCTTTGAAATACTATTAAAGTTTCTTTTCTTATAGGTTTTTTTATTTTTTGTTGCTTTTAGAATGCTATTAATGTTTCTTTTACTTCTTTTCTTTAGAGAACATTTTTTTGAACTTGAATTTCAATTAAACTATAAAGGTAAGTGATGTGAAAGATTGTTTTTGTTTCTTCTAAGTTTTTAGAATAACATTAATATTTCTTTTACTTCTTTTCTTTAAAGGACGCTTTCCTGAATCTGGATTTTAGCTTGGGCTATAAAATAAGATAATATAAAAGATTCTTTTTGTTTCTTTATTTTTCTTTATCTTTAGAATGCTATTAATATTTCATTTGCTTCTTTTCTTTAGAGAACACCTTCTTAGACCTGGATTTTAACTTGGACTATAAAGGTAAGTAATGTGAGAGATTAATTTTGTTTCTTCTTTGTCTTTGAAACATTAGTCAAAATAGTTCAAATCAGCTAAAAATCAGATAGTCAATTTTAAGCTGATTTTGATACTATTTATAGCTGATTGCTATATTTTCTGATTAGCATAAATAGATGTTGATAGACACTAATTAATCCCAATTGAATATAGCCATTCAGCATCAATTCAGAACTTAAATTCAATCATAAATTAGCCTAAAATTGGTATTAATTTAGCAATAATTCAGATGCTAATAGACGCTAATTGATTTCAATCAAATATAGCCATTTAATATCAATTCAAACTTAAATAATCATAAATCAGCCTAAAATTGACCTTAATTCAGTAACAATTTAGACACTGATAAACATCAATTGACTCAAATTGGACAAGCAATTCAATTATAAATCAACCTAAAATTGGCTTCAATTCAGTATCAATTCGGCAACAATTTAGATGCCAATTGATGCTAATTGATTCTAATCAGATAAGCATCAGACAAGCAATTCAATATCAATAATCAATATATTTTATTTATTAAATTTATCAAATATTAAAATTTTATTAATAATAAAAACCTAACATAAATTTACCAAATATAACAAAATATCATTAAAATCTACTGATTAATTTCCTATTAAAATAGAATAATAAAATAATAAAATATCACATTTCTTTTAAAATCCTTTAAAATCATCCTAAATATAGATAAATAAATAATATATGATAAAAATATGATCTATTCCTTCTAAAATCGTCCCAAAAATATAAAAATAATAAATATAAAATGTAAAAAATAGAAAAATCAACCCAAAATCGCCCAAAAAATATAAAGATAATAATAAAATAATAAAAATCAACCCATTTCTACTATCAACGTTAGAAATTTGCCCTAGAAAAATGATTTACAAAGTCATTGGATTTAATTTCATGTAGATCATATTAAGGAAGATCTTGATTGATATACTGTATTAGAAAATCAGGCTGATTTATTTAATTTGAAGGATTTACAAAATTCATCTTATTTATTTTGATTGGCTTATTTTATTAAATTCTTATTATTTTTGTTATAATTATTATTTTTATCATTGTTATATTTTATCTTATATTTTATATCTTTATTATATTATCTTTATTATTATTTTATAGCTAAAGTTTATTAAAATAGTTAGTTTATAGCATAAAAAAAAGTTAGCTATAGCAAACTTATTTTATATAAATAGAATAACTTTTTACTTAAGTTGTAAATTAACTCTTTTGTGAGTAATAATATAAATAAAGAAATCAATTTAAATTTATACAAATTTACTTTTCCCTTCAACGTTATCCTTTATCTAAGATTTATTGTGATACACTATACTAATTTGCTATTAAGTTTATCATTACGAGTTCAATTAATCTATCTTAAATTCTAAGACTTGATAAATTGTCAAATTGATTCAAGTATAACGGATACCTGTAGAACTTAGAAAAAATCCTAAAGTCAGAAACTCCAATGTGTAGAATCAACTGTTACAGTCTTTTAACTTAGATGTTAAGATAACCAAAAAATGAATCTAGTAACAATTTAGTGATTCCTGTCAGGAAATAAAACTATTGAGAAAAGTAAAAGAGAAAATAGAGAAGATGAAATATTAATTTAAGATTACATAAAAATTATACAAAGGCCTAATAGATAGTATCTATTGTTCTCGACTTCATGAAAGCTTGTATAATATTTTGATCACATAAAGCTCATTGAAAATCACCTGACTAACTGCTGAATCTTAATTGAATAAAGAAGATAATGAATACAAATTTAATATAAAAGTTACGGACATTATTATCTCAATACTGACTAATTAGAATTTTACGTAATTTAGACTATTAGAACTGTTAAATCTCAAGAATCACAATGATATATGTTTCATTCAAATTAGACTACTGGATAGAAGATAATTGAAGAAACATTATTTTATTTTATTTTTATATTTTATAGTATTTTTATTAGACTTTTATAAATTAATAAACGAAATTATAGTTTTAGTTTTTGAATAATTTTGGAAAAAGGTTTCTTACTAAGTCTAAACAAAAGTGAAAGCTTTGGATTTTTTACTCATCCCATAGAAAAATGAGAGAGATTGTAGTAAAGTTTTGAATAATAAATGATTGTGAATACCAGATACTAGTAGGAAAAAAAATGTTCTAAGATTTTAAAATTTGAGGAATAGAATTATTATGCTAAGGAATTAGAAAAAGGTTTATCACATAGCTTATAAATAATGTAAAAGTATTAGGATACCTCAGATGGTAAGATATTTCATCAAAAGATTTCAAAAAGAAATAGATTATAATTTTTATAGATTTATCAATGATTTTAGATTTTAGAAATTTTATTCAAAAGGATTTTTAATCATATGAAATGATAATATTTGATAAATTATGGTGAAAATATAAAGAAAAATTTTATTGAATTAATAATAATCACGTGATATCAGAAAAAGATTACAAGAGTAAAAGCTAAAGTGTCAACAATATGATTAGCAGCTCTTGAAGTA